CATTTTTTTGTTTTCTTACAAGACGTTCCTTGACATGTTATAAATATTAAAACAAATTATTCATTAAAAATGAATTTTATAATCAAAATATTCGTTATTATAGGGAATAAAGACAAAATTTAAATCAACTTTCTGTGACAAAATTGTTCTTAATAATGACATTTTTTGTGAATTTCGCTGTTTAAAATAATTGCAAAAAAACGACAATGTCTCTTTTAAGTTAACATCTTTGTGGTATATAAGAATAGTTGTAAAATATTAAATTTACTATTAATTTTTTTAGACATTAACTTTGTGATAAATTCTTTAATAAGTGTCATTTTTCATTAATTTTTTTGCAGTTAAAAACATTACATTTTTATTCTTAAAATGTCTTACTTTTTTTACGAAGGAAAGAAAAATTCAAAATACTTTTAAAAAAAATACCTGTTATGTTAAGGAAAGACAAATTATTCATAAAAAATTAATTTTATACTTAATATGGTCATTGTTGAAGAAAATTATAGAAAAATATTAAATTTAAATTAAATTTGTGATAAATTCTTAATGGTCCTTTTTTTGTGAATTTCGCATCTTAAAAATTTGTTTAAAGATAAAATATGCAAATGTTCAAGTAAAATAAACATCATACTTACTTCAGTATCTTAAATAATAAACTGAATCCAAAGGTAAAATGAAAAAAATGTCTTTAAAAAAAATTAATTTCTTAATCCAATTCCAGTAACTAACTTTTGCTTGTTAATCGTCCGCCCCTAGTCGCCTACTGGCCTTACTTGATGTAGAGGCCTGAGTTATGGATCGCCTTGGTCTACATTCAAAGAAAAGAATTTGTTTTACGCAGTGGTAGCATCCTACTGGTTCGCACCAGTTCATTGCGAACTGATTCTTACTCCTAAGAGTATCAAATTTTCCAAACCCTCCTTCCTCATTATGCATGCTAGAAACTTCAACTGTCTCTTCCAGATGTTTTAAGTATAAGTTATATTTTGCTGCCATTGTCTCTAGAACTTTGTTGTTGCTCACATGGTTAATCTATGATATTCTCAGCATCCTTCTGTAGATTTCCCCAGTTAATAAACCCAAATACACTCACTGTGTATGATTGGATTTTAATTGTTTTGTATTTCTGTTCATCTCATTAGTGTTTTCTCATAAGTACATATAATTCCCTGACATTTTTATGGCAGGACCGCCTTGGGATCAAAATCCCTGGAGACTGCCTTAGGCACCTTCAAATGTGCAATTTTTTGTCACTTATCCCCATGTAGGTGTTGGACTGCCATTTTAAATTCCATCTTCTGCCACATTCTATCCAAATGGGCAAGTGGATAAATATCTACATATTTTAAAGTGCAACTCCACTTTTTACATTTAATAATATCCTATTACATATAAAACCCTATTACATATAATAATTTGTTTACATAAAATAACCTATTACAAATAGTAACCCTATTTCATATAAAACCCTATTATCAGTGGTGATATCCTACCGGTTCATACAAACTGATTCTTAAAATTATAAAAGCTTGGATTATCCAAAAATAATCTTATATATTAATAGCCGATAGTCTAGATAAAACGTTAGTTATGCTACATTTGTACATGCGTCTAGTGAAACTCTAATAGACACATGCCTCCTGAATTTAAAAATGTCTCAAATCTTCTAGGCATAAATTTGCTAAGTCTTCCATTGGATCTTTGAGACTGCAGCGATTCAGTTTAAATGTAGCTAAGAAACCATAAGACAAGCTGATGACACCAGAGTCAAAAAGCACCATAATTCTGAATAAAAATATGAGGAGAACAGAATTTCAATTTGTAAACATCTTAATAAATAAATGTTTTCTATTAAATTATGAAAATGGTTTAATTCTTTTTAATACTATAAAGTGGTTTGTTTCCATTCTTAGATTGAAAAGAAAATAAGCAGAATAGGTTCTTAAAGATTACCTGCCTTTATAGAACTGGTTCCTGGAACTTTAGGATATCACCACTGGTCTTATGCCTATGTGATTCATATAGATGAGAGTGTACTGGGAAATAAAATACTCTTCCATCATTATTTTTGTCTGTAAACAAGTTCATCAATCAGTCTTATGCTAGTAAGATAAACTGAAAATGTTCAGAGCAAAAAAGACTTTCAGGTTTTTATTATTTTATTTATTTATTATTTTATTTATTTATTATTTTATTTATTTATTATTTTATTTATTATTTATATTATTTCTATTTAATTATTATCATTTTATTATTATTTCTTTTATCCACTCATTCTTGGTCTGAGGCAACAATCAGCTGACTGAGAACAGTTTCAATAAGCATGAAAAAGTTCATATATATATATATATATATATATATATATATATATATAATAAGCAATTATTTTATATAATAATATACTTATTTCATAATTTTCTCCAATCTTTTCTCATACAAATGGCATAAAGATTTTGATAATAGAATTAATTTTTATACAAGTTTATTATTTTCTCAAGTGTTGATCTACTGCCAAAATGTTTATTTATACCTACAAATTAATCTAACAGCCAGATGTTAATTCTGAATGACTAGGCTTATGGCCATATCACGTTGAAACATTGGTTCACATACAATCACCAAAGTTAAGCAATGTTGAGCCTGGTCATTACCTAGATGGATGACTGCTAGGGAATAACAGGTACTGTAAACTTGGATGTGTGCGTGGTGAAATGGATAATGGCTCAGACTTGCAAATCAGAGAGCCAAGTTCCAGTTCCAATCAGGTTCATTATATTCACTTACACACAAATACCCCTGGGAAAGGTATGAATTCACTTCTTTTCCCTCTATCATATGGATTAATTAGTAAGAATTTTATCAGCAAATCTTTATTATATTCAAAAATTGTCATAAAACCTAAAAATATTTTCTGACTTAAACAACCTTTACAAAGTTGATAAGCTGTAAAAAAATGAACCAATCAAAACAAATGAACCATAAACCATATAAAAGGCAATGGGAAACCACTCCACTATATTACCCAAGAAGGTATGGTATCCCACAGATAATAAAGAAAAGGAATGTATGGAGGTTCATCATAATCTACATAGTTTAAAGATTGGTGTCTATAACTCTATTCTGTTCCTTCTAAACTGTTCAAAGTTAAGAAAAAATATCTTATATCTTGTTCAAGAAAAGTATGAATCCATTTCTTCTTTCCCCATCTAGGGGTTAAATAGCATGGTAGAAAGAATTTGTGGAGATCCATGATCTCTTATGTCCTGAAGAGACATGAATTTTAAAAATGGTTAAATAGCAGAATTTCTAGCCTTGAATAGCAGTCAGTCTATGAAAAGAACAACTTTAAATTCAAAACCATTGAGAAGGCAATGGGTAATCACAATCTTTCCCAAGAAGTCATGGCAATTCGTAGATAATAAAGAAAAAGGAATCTGTGGAGAGCCATGATTACTGATGTCCTGAAAGAAAATGCCATTTAAAAAAATTATGCTGTTTCATAGCATATAATACTATTTTTTCTAAGAAAATGACTTGAAGTTATATCTCTCGGGCTTTTTTTTTCTTTTACTATTGTTCACCCAATACAAGGTCCAAGAACCACTCAAGCTAGAAGTTTACTAAATAAGGTTGTTGTTAGGGTACATAGGGAAGGAGCAAGGGTTGCATATTATGAGGATATGTAGGATAGATAACCTCAACTTGAAGAGGTAAAGTTTGTAGTGATCAGGAAATCATCCACTTGGAAATTCATTCCACATTGCAACAATTCTGGAGAAGAAACTGTTTGAGTGGAACTTACTCCTTACAAATGGAATCTGAAGGAAATGGAAATGAGTCAATTCAGTGTATGTGACATGGTAGTTCCTAGCTATAAAGATCTGAACTGGTAGAATCAATGAATGCAGTTCAACAGAACATCTCCCTTGAAAATAGTGGTAGAGCAGTAAGTAGTTAGCAACATTCTGTCTGTGAGAAAAGAGGTTCAAGGGTGAAAAACAATTCATCACCTACAAGGCCATGCAAATGCTTTTGAATTTCAGACTCAATAGTGAAGATTGCTCCATGTTTTAGTCTGAACTGGATTTTGTAGGAGGTGTTAAGTACTTTCTGGAGCACTACAGAGAACTGACCATTTTTTCAGCATCATTATTAGTGGATCATATAGATGAGTTTCACTATGATTCTCAACAGAGGTTCTAGACAAGGAGCCTCATTGAGAGAACAGCAGTTCCTCATGAGTAGATATGCAAAGTTTATGCAAACTTGGAGTATCTGGTAAGGTTAATGTTTATCTAGCCACTTGTAGTCTGCCACCAGTCCTTGTACCAAACCTAACTCCGTAATATTGCAATATTAAATGTAAGTTGGGGATATATTCACCTATATACATACAAGCATAAATTTATACATACTCTCAAAAGTGTGTGCTCACATACATATATAAAGATATAGTCATTTATATAGGTGTATGAATATATACACATACGCACATGTATTTGTGTTCATATGTGTAGGCACTTGTTGAGGCAAGCATAATGCTCAGATGACAAAGAGATTTGTATAGTCTGATATCACTACTGAGACTGACGTCAAAATGCCCAACTAAGTAAGCTGACAGATGAAGAGGTTTCAAAACAGTCACGTCATTTTGACTTCTTCATTCTTTCTATTTTTTCTTCCTTCTTTTTCATTAGTTATTTTATTTCCTTCTTTTCTCTTTAATTTTGTTTTCATCTTTGGTTTTCTTCTTTCATTCCTTCATTCTTTCTTTCTTCCTTTCCTCATTCCTTCCTTTTTTTCTTTCTTTCTTTCTTTCTTTCTTTCTTTCTTTTAATGTTATAGCTATTGTTCTTCTCCCCATGATTTCTTCCCTTTCATTTTCCTTTATTCTTTTCTTTTATTTTTTATTTTTCTTTACATCCTTGTTTTTCATTTTTTTCCGCTTTTCTTTCAGTCATTCATCCTTCCTTTCATCCTATTTTTTTTTCCTGTTTTAGTTATTGTTCTGCTATCCTTTCTTCCTTTCTTTCCTTTTTCATTTATTCATATCCTCTTTACTTTTTCTTTCTCTTTATTTTTTCATCTTTCTCCTTTCCTTCATTCATTCATTCATTCATTCATTCTCCCCTCCCTCATTCATTCCTTTTTTTTTCTTTCTTTCTTTCTTTCTTTCTTTCTTTCTTTCTTTCTTTCTTTCTTTCTTCTTTCTTTCTTTCTTTTTTTTCCTCTCACATCCATTGTATAGGATTTCTGTCCATCATTCACCTTAACTTTCCTTCTCCTCCTTCTCGCTCTTATTTTCGTTTCTCTCTTTCTCCATCTTCTCTCTTGTTTTTTATTTCCTCTGTTTCTCCACCTTCTCTCTCTTATTTTCTTTTCTTTCTGTCTCCATCTTCTCTCTCTAATTTTCTTTTCTCTCTTTCTCCACCTTATCTCTTGTATTTTCTTTTCTCTCTTTCTCTACCTTCTCTCTCTTATTTTCTTTTCTCTCTTTCTCCTACCTTAGCTCTCTTCTTCTTCTTCTTCTTCTTCTTCTTCATGTCATTCTTTTATTATTAATTTTTGCTCCTCATGCTTAAATTCTTTTCCCACTCTCTCTAAATTCTTTTATTCTTCTTCTTTCCCTCCTCTCTCATTGTTTTGTCCCTCAGTCTAACATCTCTTCTTTTCTTCTCTATCTCATTCCTTCATACTTAACTTCTTCCTTCTCCTCTCTCTCTCTCACCAGGTCTACTCACTTCTTTCTTGCACCCCTCTTTATTTTCCCATGACTAACCCTCTTATTCAGAAGCTCCTTTTCTCTCTCTTGTTTTTGCTCTCATTCATGTTTCTTTCCTTTATAACAATTTTTATTCTCTCAGACATATTCTTTCTTTCTTACTTTCCTTCCTTCCTTCCTTCTACCTCTTCCCTATCTTAATTCTTTCATGAACCAGTGTCTTATCCCCCAGATATGGGTTAAATAGTAGGATTTGTATCTGAAAAATCAATGTCAGTCTCAAAAAATAGGTAATGCAATATTCACTCATAAAAAAATTGTTCTTACAATCCAAAATATATTTTGGCTTTGAATAACCCACAAAGGGTTGATAAGCCATAAAAACAAATCAATCAATTAATCAATCCTTCCTTCCTTAACTTCCTTCCTTCCTTCTTTTCTTCCTGCCTATTTCTTTTTACTTTTTAGTCAATTCTTTTCTTCATTTTTCTTTCTGTCCTCCTTCTTATCTTGTTTTTTTCTTCTTTCCTTCCTTTTCTCCCACTCTCTCCTTCGCATTGTCGTTCTTTTATTTCTTCTTTCTTTCTTTCTATCTTTCTACTTCTTAGTCCTTCCTTTGTTCCTTCCAACCTTCCTTCCTTCCTTCCTTCCTTCCTTCCTTCCTTCCTTCTAACCTTTCTTTCTTTCTTTCTTTCTTTCTTTCTTTCTTTCTTTCTTTCCTTCCCATTCTTTTCTTCCTGTCTATTTCTTTTTACTTTTTAGTCATTTATTTCTTCATTTTTCTTTCTGTTCTTGTTTTTTCTTCTTTCCTTCCTTTTCTTCCACTCTCTCCTTCTCATTGTCATTCTTTTATTTCTTCTTTTCTTCTTCCTTCTTTCTGTCTTTCTTACTCTCTACTTCTTAGTCCTTCCTTCCTTCCTTCCTTCCTTCCTTCCTTCCTTCCTTCCTACTCTGTCTTTCCTACCCTAGTCATTTTCCTTCTTAATTCTTTTTTTGCTTATTTACTCCCTTCCTTACAACAACAACCCTTTCGTTCTTTCTCCTCTAGAGTCTGCATTTTTGTCTCTCTTTACATTGTTTCTTTCCTTTCTTAAGTCTTTCTCCACCCCTTCTATTTCTTAAGTCTTTTCCACCCCTTTTGTTCCTAGTCCTACCACTCACCTTCATCACATCTTTATTTTCTTTCTTCTCAATACCTCTACCTTCCTTCCCCACACAATACCCACTCACTTGTTCAGAGTTGTTCACTCAATCAGTCAAATGACACAGTGGTGGTCCTCCTTATCAGCCTTGTGGCTCTTATCCCTTCATGGCTTATCAACTATCACCTGTCAATGAGAGTGATGAAGCCATTTCTTTATTTGAGGTCCTGTCCCTACTTGGTGGCACTGGACTCAATTGTAAAGAACTCTGGTCCCTCTGTTTCCAATGCACCCGGATTCTACAAGATATTAACAAGGTTGGAGACTTCTTCCAAACACTTTGCATTACTCCTGAGTCTGTGGCCTTTGAGATAGCGACAGGTCAAATCTGCCTCCTGGATCTCTATGTCGGTAAGTCATGTCAATATCTACTCATCTGAAGGAAAAGTGAAAATGAAAGTGAAAGTAACAATTTTTTTCTTTATATTACAAAGGTTCATTATGGCATTTGCAATTTGTTTTTTTATAAAATTTTTAGTTTATAAAAAATTTAAAAAAATAACTTGTTTTCATAAAATCTTTTAGAAGAAATATCAAGTAGTTATTATTATATTACTATTATTATTACATTTATTATTACTATTATTATTAAACAAAATGATTGATGTAACGCTTCCAATATTTTTCAACAGTTAAGAGAAGAACATGATTTAATAATAAAAATTGTTTTTATATAACTTGAAGAAGACAGACATTCTGTTGAAATATTGTTTAACGTTTTCAAACAGTGTTTTTTCTTTTCTTTATCTTTTTTTAAATCGTGCTCTTCTCTTAACTACTATTATTATTATAAATATTATTTCTTGGAACATTTATATATTTAAGGTTTAATCCACTGGAATCAAGGTGCATGATTTACACATTTGTTTTTTTCTTATTTTCTGATAACAAAGTATCCATGGATTATGTAGTCCTTGGTTCAATTAGTTTTTAATTTTAGAGTGAAACTTGGGTTACATGAAAATTTATAAATCATTATCTCTCCTTCTTGATAATATTATTATAACGGTGATTAATATTTATGAAAATTTATTGCTATGATTATTAATAATGTTTACGACATTATTATAATTGCTATCATTTTCCTCTCTTCTTCATATGTCTCTCATTATTATAAAAATGACATCACTGCAGTTTTCTCTTTATTAAAATCATTTATTTTACTATTTTTTATTAGTAATGTTTATTTGATTATTAAATCAGAGTGATTTTCTAAACATACCTTAGAGATGGCACAAAGTTGAAAGTATAAGGCACCCAGTGAGGATTGAACTCACTATTCAGCCATAATTGATCTAGCAAAGTGTCCAGTTTGATTATTAAATTGACTTAACAATAAAATTATTACTTTATTATTTTATTTGTTATTAGGTTATTATTATATTTTATTGTTATTATTATTTATTTTATTTTATTAATTTTATTAATAATAAATAAATAACAAATTTTATTAATCAGATACAAAATATTTTGTTTTGCTATAATCTTAATATTAAATTACATGGCACAATAAAATGTGGTTTAATATATCTCTGTATCATCTCAAAAGATGGTTGATTAACTAATCTGGAATTTGGCAATAATTTACAAATATATAAATAAAAACATTTTTATCAATCTTCAATGATACTTATATATCTACAGAAACATCAACTTGAAAATTTGGATTGCTTCAGTTGATCCTTTCTGAAAAGAAATAACTTAGTCTTAAATTAAATAATTAATTTAAATCCAAACCAATTTAAATCTTTATAAATAATTTATTACAATAAAATAAGCTAAAATTTGGTACAATAGGAAAAAAAACCTAAATAACATACACATGTAAAAAAATTCATATAACCTTTGATCCTTAGTTTGAAAAGATGTGTCACAATGTAAAGTTTCAGCCTCACAGGTACAAAAATGGGACCTACAACTTAAAATGTGAATATATATAATTAATGGACTTATTTCAGTTCAACATTTTATTACTTCGAATGTGCATTTATTTCAAATACAGAGTATCCACTATAACCTTTGAAGTAATATATATATATATATATATATATATATATATATATATATATATATTTATTTAGGCAGCAATCCTTCATTTATACATGTTTCATTAAAAACGACAGACAAGGTATTACAGTTAAGTTTTTTATTTAATTTTTCTTGTGTTCACTCAAAAGCTTTCTTTTGGGGACATAGAGTGTGTAGAAACTGTCCAAATGTTCTATAGTTCCAAGTGCTTTCGGCTATGCTTTTAGCCATTATCAAGGATTATTTTATTTTTTCAGTTTAACTGAGTGTGTGCATTATGTGTATGTTTTAGTGTGTTATAGAGGTGTTTTATTTTCTAAACACATTTAGCACATTGAAGCCTAGTTCATGATTAATATTGTTAAGAGCTGGCTTTTCATTTGGACAGTTTCTACACACTATGTGTCCCAAAAAGAAAGCTCTTGTGCAAAACACAAGAAAAATTAAATAAAAAGCTTATCCATAATACTGTGTTTGTCGTTTTTAATGAAACATGCATATATATATATATATATATATATATATATATATATATATATAGACAGATAGATAGATAGATAGATAGATACATATGACTAAAGACAAAAGTAAAATTTATCTTAGCTGGCGCATTTCATTCTATGATGGACTTTATCAAATGTAAGGATTTTATTTCTAAGATCCATGTCTTCCATCATCAGGCTACAAACAATTATTTCGTCTTCAAGTTTTAACTTTAAAGGAAAAAATTACAGCCTGATGATGAAGACATGGATCTTTGAAAGTACTTGTTTAACTTAAAAAATATACACTAGAAACATCTGACAACAGTTTTATAAATGAGGATCACATCATTCAATTGATTAACAGTATTCTAATGCATACATTATGTTCTACTAACAAAGTGATTTCACCATTAATCTCATTAATATTGCTGATTGATTCTATGTATGATTATTTTTATATATATATATATATATATATATATATATATAATGTTCTGATCATATTCAGAAACTTAACAAAACTTCATTAAAAAGAAATTAATATTGCAAAATAATGTTCTTCATTCAACACTATAAAAAGATATTAACCCTTGTTACAATAGAAAATTATCCACTCTGCCCCCTTGAAAATGGCTAAAGTATTTGCTGAAAACACTTGAGAAAACTAATACTACAGTCATTTTGTTGACACACACACTCCCCAAAAAAGGAAAACTTCTAAGGACACAAGAAAAATAATTCAATAAAACTCACAAGATATTTCTTGTCCATCATATTTAATACAACATGCATAAAAGAAGGATTGCTAGCAAAATCTACAATACACACACACACACACACACACACACACACACATATATATATATATATATAAGAGAAAATGAGATAGATACAATTTTAATTAATAATTATATTACAACTAAATACAACATAGTGTATTGAAAATGAAATACTAAGGTATACTAATAATAGAATACTAAAATACATGATACAATTTAATGAAAGTTTAATTTAAATGTTTGAAAAAAATTTTAATCATACAAATCAGGAATGGTCAATGTTTTCACCTTTACAAATATACCTTTGTAACCACTGCCATTTTTATTAAACAACTATTAATGCTATGTGTCCTCTTGAAATTTTGAAACACAAATAAAAAAAAAAATCTCCAGGAATTAAAAAGGAATTAATAAAACAGGAATCAAAAGATTAAAGAAAAAAGGATTTAAAATGATTTAGTTTTAGAACGAACTCTTTTTTTTTTTGATGGCGGAGAAAATATTTCAAGTAGATCTGGCAACATTTTTTATCCTCCATTCTTTTTTCTATTAAAAGAAAGAAAGAAAGAAAGAAAATAGAAAGAAAAAGAAACAAGAAAGATAAAGAAACAAACAAAAAAAAAAGAAAAAAGAAAGAAACAAACAAATAAAAAGAAAGAAATTAAGAAAGGAAGGAAAAGAAAAAGGAGAGAAAGAAAAAGAAAGAAAGAAGCAACTAGTGAATTTCTATATTAATAGTTACTTAGTTACTCCGATTTGTCTTCCTTATAAAATGTCCACATTGTTTGTGAGGGTCACTGATGTTTGAGGTTTTAGAGATTCATAGACATGCTTAAACTTGTTCCAATTTTGTTGCCATTGAGGGACTCCACTTTATTACCATCGTTTCGCTTTTGGATTATTTATTTTGGATTATTGTTTATTTTCATAAATATTTTTTGTTGCCAGAATTTTATGCTTCAATTTTAACAAGTTTGTTTGATTCTTTTCAAAAAATTATTTTTTCACAATTTTTCTTGATGACACTTAAACAGCAAAAATACCTATTGCAGAATAAAGTTTCATTTAATTTTTAATTGTAACATCAATGCAAAGTGAGTCATACTTGTGAGATGTGAATTTTTTATCTAATTCTGATTATGTCTATTTATCTATCTATCTACCTATCTAAGCCTGTTCAGTGTTCATCTATCTATCTATCTTGGTCTGTTCATATCTATATCAATCTATCTAAACCTGTTTATCTGTCAATCTCTCTCTCTATCTATCTATCTATCTAAGCTTGTTCATGTATCCATCTTGGTCTGTTTCTATCTATCTATCTATCTATCTATCTTAGTCTGTTCATATCTATCAATCTATCTATCTAAACCTGTTTATCTGTCAATCTCCATCTAATCCTGTTTATCTATCTATCTATCTATCTATCTATCTATCTATCTAAGCTTGTTCATGTATCCATCTTGGTCTGTTTCTATCTATGTATCTATCTATTTTAGTCTGTTCATATCTATCTATCTATCTATCTAGCTAGCTATCTATCTATCTATCTCAGTATTTTCAATATCTATCTATCTATCTATCTATCTATCTATCTATCTCAGTCTGTTCATATCTATCTATCTATCTATCTAAGCTTGTTCATGTATCCATCTTAGTCTATTTCTATCTATCTATCTATCTATCTATCTATCTATCAAAATCTGTTTATCTATCTAAACCTGTGTATCTATCCATCTGTCTAAGCTTGTTCATCTATCTATCTATCTATCTATCTATCTATCTATCTATCTATCTATCTCAGTCTTTTCAATATCTATCTATCTCAGTCTGTTCATATCTATCTATCTATCTATCTTCTCTAGGCTCTCTCTCTTTGTCAATGTTCCTCTTTATGTCTCAATCTTTTTAATCTAAATCTTTGTATCTCCAATTAAATTGTCAAATCACTGAAAAACACTTTTTCTTTACTTAAGTCAAAATTGGATATTACAGCAGAGAACAAAACAAAAATCTAAAATTTATATCAAATCAAATCTTTACATTCTGTATAGAAATTCTGGTTCCAGTGTATTTGTCCAATAAATGATTTCCATTTCATTTCCATAATAACTTATAGCCTATACATTTCTATAGTAAAGATTTTCAAATCAATTTCTGTAATAAAGAATTTGTATTCCTAATTTTAATTAATTATATTAATTATAAATTTAGCCTTTATTATTTATTTCCAAAGAAGAATTATTCACTACTTTTGATATCTTTATAAATACAGATGAATTATAAAAAACATGCTGTGGTTGTTCCAACCTTATAAACCATCGGAATCAAAAATGGCATCCCAAATTTCTAGAAATCAGGTCTGTAAAGGCAGATTATCTTATGGAACCTATTCTGTTTATTTTCTTTTCAATCTGAGAATGGAAACAAATCACTTTTATAGTATCAAAAATAATTAAACCATTTTGAGAATTTAATAAAAAACATTTATTTATTAAAATATTTCCAGCTTAAAATTCTGTTCTCATCATATTTCTGTTGAGAAGTCTGATGCTTTATCACTTTAGTGTCATCAGATTGTGTCATGGTTTCTTAGCTACATTTGAACTGAATCACTGTAATCCCAAAAATCCAATGAAAGACCTAGCAAATTTATGACTGGAAGATTTGAGACATTTTTCAATTCAAGACAATTTATTTTGTCAGAATAAATTATGTTTATCACAGAAAACCCTTTTTCAGGTTCCACAGAAGTTAAGCAATGGTATTAGTTATATTTTTTAGCTCTTTGGATAGTTTTGGGTACAACATGCTTATGGTAATTTCTTGTTACATTTTCAATGTAATCATGGAAATCATTATTGTTGTGGTAGGGGACATGTATCACTAGGTATGCACAAGCAAGCATTGTGTAACTAACATTTTATCTAGATCATAGGCTATTAATATATAAGATTATTTTGGGATTATCCAACAACCCATTGACTAAGCTTTTATAATTTTAAGAATCAGTTTGCATGAACTGGTAGAATGCCACCACTGATTGGAATTCATTGCTTCTTGTCTGCAGTTAGAATAAGGCTTTGTGTCAAAGCAAGGACAGGACAACACTACTACTACTACTACTACTAATACCACTGTCACCACATAAGGGAAGCATTGATTTTTTATTAAGAAAAAGAAATTTCTTTCAAAATAAAACAACTGACACTGATTTGAAATGTCAATATATTTTTCTTAAAAGAAATTGAAAATTTGCAAACAAACTTTTTTTAGTGAATCATTGCGCCTTCTCAAGCTAACATTCTCAGCTGACATGAAGTAAAAAGACTATATTGAATTCATTGCTGTTATAGACAAGCGTATGGTTGCAAGAAAGAAATACAACAACAGTAGAAATAGATTTACGTGGTTTATTTCAACAGGAACGTAAGGGTTTAGGACAGCTACCTTGGTGTGGTAAAGTTCATAAGCCGGCTTTCGGATCTAGGTCGATCTCTCATAGTAGTTCACACATGTTGACGGTGGTTGACGTTCTCCTGCTGACAGCGGCTAAACGTGACCGGTCTCCTTTGTGGCCACCTGTTGACTGCTGCTGAACTTCCCTGTGACCCCTTTTATAGCGTTTTTTATCGCTAACAGGCTCGAGAAACGAAGCGAGTATAATTAGAAGGGAAGCATTTTATTGGACGAAAAATAGAGCACTTTAATTATTATTTTATTTTTCGACCGAACACGTGTGTCGGAAACATTTGTAAAGAAAGTTAATGGTCATTTTGTGACGGGGCTTTGTCCCGTTCACATCCGGTTCTCGCTCTTGAGTATTTGCCTGTAAATCAGCCGAGATATGTCATTTTATTTTATAACATTGCTAAGAAAGTCAGTTCGGCATGTCACGTGAGACAATATTTCTCTCCAGAATCTATCATACACATCTATAAGTCTACCATTCATCCATGCTTAGAATATTGCTGCCACATATGGTCCGGTATCCCTGCTATTTATCTTAAGCTTCTTGATAAAATTCAAACAAGCAATATTATAAGTTCTAATCTGGCAGCTCAGCTTCAGTTATTTTCCCACCAACATAGGGTTGCCTCTCTGTGCCTTTTCTATAATTACTTTCATGGTAATTGTTTGGGTGAGCTCTTTGTTATGGTACCTAGACTTTTTTAATTTAAGCGCAGTACTAGACTGGCATTGAAATCTCATTAATTTACAGTTGATCTGGCTAAATGTAACCATAAATTCTATGCTAACAGTTTTTCTTGCACTTCTCACTTCTGGAATGTCCTTCCAGCTCTATGCTTTCCAGTCAACTTCAATCTGCAAAAATTTAAATGCATTGTCAATCATTATCTAACATACTCCTGATTACTTTTTTTTCTTCCTGTTCATTATTAATGTTTCTGTTCTTAATTCTCCCACACCCTGTAACCCCTTGTGTCTTAGTGGCTTTACTGCCTTGCATGGAGTGAAACCAATTAAAAAAAAATTATTTGCCAAATCACAAGATCTGGATTCACACAATGGTATTGAAGCTTGACAAAGTAAATAGGTGCTACAGACTTGAGATTTTGTTGGTTAACAATTTGTAGTTATGGCTTGTTACTGCTGAGGATAAAGACTTACAAAGTAAATGAATTTAATATTTTCTAAAGAAATGAATATCAACATACAGAGGAATTGTATATAACATAGCTTGCAAAAGAAGAGAAAGAAATAATTATATTTATATATATACAGATATAGCTTAAAAAAGAAAAAAAAAACATTTCAGAGTGTTTGGGTGTCAATCTGAGGACAGTGAAGAAAATTTGGAATTAGTTGGATGAGTCACATGGTGAATACAAAGGTATGGCATTCTCATAAGAAAAGAACTCCTGAATTTGTTGGTAAGGGTCTCAGATTCAACATGGAGACCTACATTAAGCACCTTGAGGAGATAGTACTGCCCTGGGTCAAAAAGAGGTTGCTGGAAGACCCTATGTTTCACAACAGGAATCTGCACCATGTCACACAAGCAGAAGAACCCAGTCATGGCTGTCAGACAATTTCTACAACTACATCACCCCTTACATCTGGCCACCTAACTCCTCAGACTGCAACCCCCTTAATTATTATGTGTGGGGCACAGTTGAGTGAGAGACTAACAAAATTCCTTGTAATACCAAAGATTAGCTGAAGGCAAGAATTATGGCAGCATTTACCAACTTAAATAAGGAGACCATCCAGAAGAGTGGCAGGAGATTCTGAAGCCATCTGGAGGCCGTGGTTGGAGCCAATGGTGATTTTATTGAATAAATTTACTCTTTAGTATTTCAAGACATTTTTGAGTAAATTAGGTAAATATATCTGTTAAAACGAGATGTCAGTGTTATTTTCATTTTTTGCATAATTTTGGTGACAATTTATCCACCGCACCCTATATATATATATATATATATATATATATATATATAATTATTTATTTAAAAATATGATTCCATCGCTACATAAGAGTTCTCAAGTTTCAAAACAAGAGCCGAAAACTTCAATATAATTATTTGAAATAAATTGAATTAAAGTACCAAGCTCTGTTCCATCTTCAAGCGAAATTTTTTTTTGAATAACTGATTCTTGAAATTTACGCGTTTTTATAAGCATATTCATTATTAAAATTACTATGGTAACAGCTAGAGCAATTATTTAAAAAAGGGGCGTAAGGGTTAATAATTTGTATCAATATCTCAGTTACGTTTAAAGGGGTCAAGTCAGGGTAAGGTTGGGGTGTCTAAATTCAAAGCGGAAGATGACATCGTCTAGTCTGGTTAAGTGTCTATGGAGATTTATTTATTTTTTTATTTTATTTTATTTTTTTTTTTCCTGAAAGGGTTTTGTATATATAAAAAAAACTGTCATAATTCGCTAACATTTGTTTTTTTTGACGACTTCATAAAGGATTTTTTTTTTTTATTATTATTATTGGGTAGGGCTTTTAAACTTTTTATTTAGACTATGGAGTTTAAAATTTGTATCTATTATTTTATTGTTTGTTTGTTTTTTATGCTAATTATTCAATGTGAAAATTTGATGATGTTGGCAAAAAACCGTTAACTCATGTCTATTGTTTAATAAATTTTCATTATTTAGAAACTTGATAATGTGTAGTTTTTCATGTAGGCATAAAGGGCATGGGTCATCCCAAGTTTTACAAGTTCTAGTTTTGTTTATAATTTTCCATTTTACTTTTGGTATTTTATTCATTTCCTTCAAATGCCAAAAATATTTAGATAGAGATGTCTGATTTCTTTTATTAATATTATTGAAGGAGCTTTTATGCTGTCTCCACCTGGTTCTAAATTAGGACTCTCAATGGATGAGATAGTACATTGGTATACCACAGATTTTACGCAGCATATTTTCCAATGGGCAGTCTTCTGGGTTTCTACAATCACATAATTTTTCACTATTTTTGTCTAATTTAAGTGTAGGGTTTTTATTAATACTATTCTGGCATGGGGGTTTATTCAGGATTTTATTATTGTGTTTTTTTATTATACTTTCTAGATTTTCAGTGCAACTGTAACTTAATTTTAGGGTGTTTTTATTAAAGATTTTACTAAGTCTACTATTTGTAGAAAAGTGTTTTTTAATTAAAGCTAGGAATTTTAGCTTAATACTAACCATTTGGTTGAACGGACAGGTACACCAAATGATTTTTTTTTTCCTCTTTTTCTTCTGGTTAATACAATTGTTTTTATAATTGATGTTAGCATTTTTGTATCCACTATTTTTTAGGGCTGCGTTATAAAAATTACTGTGTTGTTGGAATATTTCTTTATTAGCGGAGTTAATGCTGATTCTTTTCTCTGTTGATGAGGGTATAAGTCAAACCACCCTCCATCCATAATTAAGCATATACCCTATAAA